GACGTGATGGTGCACGTTTTTAAATTTACTGCACAGTTCTTCACCGCCAACATCATCGTCATCAGTCGATCCACCGACATAAGAAGACGTCTACAAACTGCTGCAACATTCATCTGCTTGTTGCTGGTTTTGTTGACCCCCATAATTTTCCAGCTCATCCTGCCATCCATCGGGAGTTATTCCCATAAGCCGTGAACTGTGTTTCGAGATCCAGTCCAATGTCTCTTTGACCAAGCGAGAATTCGTAGCACATTTCTTCCTCACTCTCAAATCTGCTTATCTGAAAGTCTCACTTTTACTCTGTTGCATTGTTTTTTCTTGTGCATGTTTCTGTACTCGTATCTTAGACTGAACAAATCTGAATAAACTTTATCGATTTTAGCAGCTTCGCGTGGGGGATCAACGATAAAAAGTCCCTTCATGCAGAATATGGCTTTATCACAATGAAACGAGGAACCAATATCATCGGAATGACAACGGTTATGAATAACGGTATGTCAATTACTAATTTAGTAAAAATTTTATTACTTTCGTAATATACCAGTGAACGATGGAATAGACTCTCCTGGATTTTTAATGGGTCTATTGGTGAAGCGATCATTCCTCTCTGTATGAGACATCTAACGGCTTCATTTCTCATTTTTCTGAAAAATGAGACAAACGAACGGTCTAGACTCGCTCGTCCGGTGTTAGAAGACTTTTCCCACTTCTAGGAATATTTACTTTCAGAAGCATAGGGAATTACATTTGCCTGTCCCGATTATCATCGCTTCACTCATTCCCTTCCCGCATTCATCAAATGGCTTAATAACCACCCCTACAGTTGCCACCAGTATTCTGGCCAAAATGTGCAATGACTTTGACGTAGAATTGTGGTTGCTTTCCATAAAAACTCGAGACTTCAACTTGTTGTAAAGAATTTTTATAAATTGTGTTTACTTCAGTGGTCTGTTGAATCTTGACATTTAATCTCATGCTTGTCATGCAAATCTGACAACGGAAAATTGCAAGTAATATAAAAAAACTCTGAATGACAGTTAGCCGTGAAAAGACTTAACTTCACTTCTATGTGAAATTGTCGTATAAAAAAGTCTCAGCGAAAACATGCTAAATTCGCTTAATTTCATAATTATTTGATCCCATCTTCAACTTATGACGGCTTACGCAATTCAGCTTACAAACTGCTGGACCTACCCCTGTTTGTTGGTTGACGAAAATTCGATGGACGCCTGTGTTGTCATGAAGCCATCAGGAATTTACCTGTGCCAGTCGGATTCATCTTGCTCAGTTTCTACTCTTCAGACAGCAGGATTGGAAAATATCACAGAGTACTTTCTTGAGAGCTTTTCTGAGGCTGCCTTCAATCCTTCGGTCGCTGTAAAATTTTTTTTTAAATTTTATCCCGACCGTAATGGTTTCTTTCTTCTGTAAGTAGTTTTATGCTGAAGGCTACTGAACTGACAATTTCCCTCCTGTGGAATGTAGCCGTCCTCCTACGATTATGTCTTCAATTCTTCTCTTCAAACCTCGCACAGCAGCAGAGCTATGACATCGACAAATTGTTTAAACTTAGGCACGGATCCGATATGTCAAAATGAAATGTGAAGCAGCTCTACTTATCTATTTTCAAAGTACAGTACGTACTACAGTGCAGTACAGTATACTGTAGTACAGAACCGTACACATTTAATTCGAATCTATTTGGCAACATTTTTTACTTATTCTTATGTTGTATAACTGCTTTTGTGCTTCTGCTTACATATCCGTTTGTCCACACTCACAGCGTTTCGGTTACTTGTACAACACATGATTTTACTTACGTTCAACTGTGACCTTTTAGTACCCTCTTAAGATGATATGCTCTGAAGCAATAATGCTGGGATGGTAGTTCACAGCTATCGCATCTGATTCAGACATTCTTTCTTCATTAATCAGTTTCAAATTACGTCACTGGATATTACTGAAAATACCGTCACTCGTTCATTCACATTCATTCGTTAACTCCATTCATTCAGTGCATTGATTCATCCACTATGTTCTTTAAATGTTAGGTTCGACGGTAGAAAATCCATGGCTAATTCAGATAGGTTACAAATACATTTTCAAATAAACATAATTTTCCTCAATTTAAGTAGTTAATTTATTTTAACTAATTACTCTTTTGTTCTTCATTCAATAGTTCAGCAGTTTTTAGGATTTACGACATCGGAAAACGGAGAAATAAGAGACAACAAAATCGTTTTTCACCTCCATCAGATTGGTCGAATCAGCTGGAGTCGAGATCTCCCTGTCTTACATGTAAGTTTAAACATGAATGAATTATTAAATTCTCGACTATTGAATGAGATACCCCTTGCAAGATCTTCTGATGTATTACAGGCGATCAGTTTGTTGCAAAACATCCACAAAATCTTCACCAAAATATTTATGAACAACCTTCAAGAAAAGCTGGCGAAAGAGCAAGCAGATTCCACAGGTGAACTTAGTAGCACGGATCACCTCGAGGAGATCAACAAGGGATCCAAACTTGAATATTACTTTCTTCTCCGCCAGAGATTCGTCGATTTCGAAAAGGCTTTCGATTGAGTCTACAGATGTTCTGCATTGGATTCGCTGAGAAGGTGGGAAATTGAGACTTAGAGACGGCATCATCATGATTTACAAAGTTGCAATTGTTAGTATTAAGCTTCACCAAACTACAGACAAGTCATTATCGTCTAGGGCGTTCAAGAATGAAGTTGTAACACAGCAGCCGTAGAGAATCTTTCAAGACACGTCTATGGAATAGTCAGGAGCCGAAAATGGTTGGCCACATTGCGCACCATATTCTAACCCTCTCCAAGTAACGAGAAACCCTCCAAAGGAGAATCCAAGGTCTGAACTAGGCCAAAAATATTCGGATCATGCATCTACCTGCCTGCGATGCTTATTAATTATTTTATACTACTTAATTTAAAACTAAACGTGTGTTATATGGTAGCTGATCAGAGAAATCACGCTACTTGAACCAGATGTTCTGGAGCAACGAACAATGATGCAAACTCTTACGCACGTCATGCAAGAGCACACGAGCATTCGTTACCGTAAGGTGTTCCCTTGACCACAGTTCGCAACACCGCTGAAGCCGTCGCCATCCTGCCTAACGGAAATGTGCCCATTTCTGTGTCGATACGTCTGTGAGCGGAATGCTATTAAATGTGCTTCAGCAATGCTCAACGTTTTGTACAATATTATCCTGGGTGCCTAGTTCGAAGGTTTTATTATTTCCATATGATTTGCAGTTCGGTGATCGGTTTGTGACTAATTTACGTTCGACGCGTCGAACTCATTTCGTTTTTCTCCTCTAACTACCTACCTGTTGGAAACTGCGTTTGTCTGAATAAAGTTTGATTTTCTGTCTATTCCACTGCATTAAACGCCACAGAAGGGCTTTCAGGTGTGGTGGGGTAATGGCTGTCGATATGAATGGTAGGTACTCTCTAGTCTGCTGCTTCCTTGTCACAAAGTTGTGTTCATTTATGAACCTCAGATGGAGGAAAGGGGACTGTAGCTCGAACCTCGACCTCTCGGCTTTAAATCTGACGCTCGATTGATGAGCAACCTCAACCCTGTTAACTACGATGCCAATCGCACCTATCAGATAAAGGGGATATTCATCGCAAGCCGTCTTTCGCAGTTGGCGACGGCAGCCGTCAACCGACGTTGTGTCATCGTCCATTCTAAGCGTATCACAACATGAGTGACATTTGTCAAGTTTAATGAGGCATGTTCACCGGCAACTTTCGATAATGATGATGGTGCATTTGAGTGGCATTTGCATGTGAACTTATCCTCGCTGTTCCCATGTAATACCGCAGGCAATTTGTCTGTGTCAGTCAGCGTACAACGACTTCGCACATACAGGTGGACGATGGTCATTGCATATCCTTGTTGGGTGTG